CGTTATCGGACGTCATCGCTATATCGGTCATCATTGCTTTGTTGGACATCATCGCGTTATCGGACGTCATCATAACGTCCGAAACATTTAGATGGTTGGCTGTGACGAAGGACATCATGTACACAATAGCGATAGCGGTGACGGTACTTGTAATCTTCATCGTGGTAAAGCTGAAGTCGACTTGAGTAGTTGGAGTCCAATCGAACAATGACAGCGGAACTGTAAGCAAGCATTGAAGTCCATGTATAAACCATCAAGCAAGCTGAAAAAAGTCATTTGTCTGAGGACAATTCGCTGACTTTGCAGACTAAAGCAGAGATATCTATACTCGTTTCACGATCTGTGAAGAAGTTGAGAGATTTCTTGAGTTTGTGTCATCGAACCAATGACATCCACTGCCAAGACCTAACAGAAAACATTTCTAGGAAAAGAGGTGGATCAAGATGTGTCTAAAAGATATAGTGGAAAAAAATGACCATCAGACGACTCGAACACATGAAGACTTCTTTTGCGATCACCGTTGCACTCTCCCCCTGAGTGCTCTCGCCTGTGGTAAAGAATTTTCCTGCCAACGATGCCACAAGTGAGACCAAGACCGAGAGCTACCATTACGGTGGCAGTGGTGGATACTACGGAGGTCGTGACCATGGAGGTCGTGGCCGCTACGGAGGCGGCTTTTGCAAAGGTCCTTGGTAATACTGTAGTAGCCTTCTCCTACTTCAAGCTAGCTAACCAATGTACAAGAGATCATTTTCCAGTGAACAGTCTAACCATTTTATCATCAACTTGCCTTCGACTTTGACATGGCAACGTATGTAGAAAGAATAGTTACTTTTGAGCTCATACATTTTCCCCTCACCAACTCTATTTTAAACACCGTACTAGTAAACGATGGTGATACACTCTGTCTGACTTAACCACATGTGATAATAGGACACCTTCAGTGACTACTAGATACAGCAAAGCAATAACATCATGTCGTGCATGCTTTGAGTTCAGGCAGCATCCAACTTTCAAGATCAACGAAAGAATGAATGCTTTCAAAGCCAAAAAAGCTATCACAACATGACTCGTAAACTACAAGAATGGGACTCAAACGGTCGGAGTATCGGCATTAGCCCTCAATGTGTCATATAACATTGCATAACGGACAATCAGCGGCTTCTCAAACAAATTATGACAGCCGAATGGCATGGATAGATTCAATATGGCTTCATCGCTGATTGATTTACGACAAGCCTGAAACAGTGCTATAAACTGTTAAACTATCGCATAGCAAGCAACGCGGTGAAGAATCCGTACTTTAGGCCGACATAGCGGGAGCTTCATGTGGCGTCATCGGCGAGATAGGAGCTGCAGCGGGGACAGCGACATCTGCTGTCCCTGAGGTGGCAACAGGAGCTACAGCTGGAGCAGGAGTGCCAAATGTAGAAGAAGACATAATAGCTGCAGGCACTGCTGCACCCAACAAGCCTACAATGTGGCCGGACAAAGCACCCGTGTCACCACTCCTTGCAGCCGAAATGACACCCGCGGCATGGGAGAGCATGGCCGAGTTCGTCGCAATGTTTGTCAAGAGTACGAAGAGATCGTCGATACTCATGGAGCTGGCTGTACTCGCCTCCGGGCTGCTCGACAGCATCTCTTTGATGGTGTGCGCAAGCTTCACTCGATCGCTCTTCGAGATGAGGATGTTGCTCTTGGTGATGAGAATATTGTTACCATTTGCGTCCACCTTATTGCTGACAACACCAACGGTCACTGGTAAGGCAGTGCTTTTTCCGCGCATAGTAGGCATAGTGGATATGGTTTGGTCTGCAGAGACCATGGCTTGACTGGAATTTGTATCGGAAGTCAGCGCGTTATCGGACGTCATCGCTATATCGGTCATCATTGCTTTGTTGGACATCATCGCGTTATCGGACGTCATCATAACGTCCGAAACATTTAGATGGTTGGCTGTGACGAAGGACATCATGTACACAATAGCGATAGCGGTGACGGTACTTGTAATCTTCATCGTGGTAAAGCTGAAGTCGACTTGAGTAGTTGGAGTCCAATCGAACAATGACAGCGGAACTGTAAGCAAGCATTGAAGTCCATGTATAAACCATCAAGCAAGCTGAAAAAAGTCATTTGTCTGAGGACAATTCGCTGACTTTGCAGACTAAAGCAGAGATATCTATACTCGTTTCACGATCTGTGAAGAAGTTGAGAGATTTCTTGAGTTTGTGTCATCGAACCAATGACATCCACTGCCAAGACCTAACAGAAAACATTTCTAGGAAAAGAGGTGGATCAAGATGTGTCTAAAAGATATAGTACCATCAGACGACTCGAACACATGAAGACTTCTTTTGCGATCACCGTTGCACTCTCCCCCCTGAGTGCTCTCGCCTGTGGTAAAGAATTTTCCTGCCAACGATGCCACAAGTGAGACCAAGACCGAGAGCTACCATTACGGTGGCAGTGGTGGATACTACGGAGGTCGTGACCATGGAGGTCGTGGCCGCTACGGAGGCGGCTTTTGCAAAGGTCCTTGGTAATACTGTAGTAGCCTTCTCCTACTTCAAGCTAGCTAACCAATGTACAAGAGATCATTTTCCAGTGAACAGTCTAACCATTTTATCATCAACTTGCCTTCGACTTTGACATGGCAACGTATGTAGAAAGAATAGTTACTTTTGAGCTCATACATTTCCCCTCACCAACTCTATTTTAAACACCGTACTAGTAAACGATGGTGATACACTCTGTCTGACTTAACCACATGTGATAATAGGACACCTTCAGTGACTACTAGATACAGCAAAGCAATAACATCATGTCGTGCATGCTTTGAGTTCAGGCAGCATCCAACTTTCAAGATCAACGAAAGAATGAATGCTTTCAAAGCCAAAAAAGCTATCACAACATGACTCGTAAACTACAAGAATGGGACTCAAACGGTCGGAGTATCGGCATTAGCCCTCAATGTGTCATATAACATTGCATAACGGACAATCAGCGGCTTCTCAAACAAATTATGACAGCCGAATGGCATGGATAGATTCAATATGGCTTCATCGCTGATTGATTTACGACAAGCCTGAAACAGAGCTATAAACTGTTAAACTATCGCATAGCAAGCAACGCGGTGAAGAATCCGTACTTTAGGCCGACATAGCGGGAGCTTCATGTGGCGTCATCGGCGAGATAGGAGCTGCAGCGGGGACAGCGACATCTGCTGTCCCTGAGGTGGCAACAGGAGCTACAGCTGGAGCAGGAGTGCCAAATGTAGAAGGAGACATAATAGCTGCAGGCACTGCTGCACCCAACAAGCCTACAATGTGACCGGACAAAGCACCCGTGTCACCACTCCTTGCAGCCGAAATGACACCCGCGGCATGGGAGAGCATGGCCGAGTTCGTCGCAATGTTTGTCAAGAGTACGAAGAGATCGTCGATACTCATGGAGCTGGCTGTACTCGCCTCCGGGCTGCTCGACAGCATCTCTTTGATGGTGTGCGCAAGCTTCACTCGATCGCTCTTCGAGATGAGGATGTTGCTCTTGGTGATGAGAATATTGTTACCATTTGCGTCCACCTTATTGCTGACAACACCAACGGTCACTGGTAAGGCAGTGCTTTTTCCGCGCATAGTAGGCATAGTGGATATGGTTTGGTCTGCAGAGACCATGGCTTGACTGGAATTTGTATCGGAAGTCAGCGCGTTATCGGACGTCATCGCTATATCGGTCATCATTGCTTTGTTGGACATCATCGCGTTATCGGACGTCATCATAACGTCCGAAACATTTAGATGGTTGGCTGTGACGAAGGACATCATGTACACAATAGCGATAGCGGTGACGGTACTTGTAATCTTCATCGTGGTAAAGCTGAAGTCGACTTGAGTAGTTGGAGTCCAATCGAACAATGACAGCGGAACTGTAAGCAAGCATTGAAGTCCATGTATAAACCATCAAGCAAGCTGAAAAAAGTCATTTGTCTGAGGACAATTCGCTGACTTTGCAGACTAAAGCAGAGATATCTATACTCGTTTCACGATCTGTGAAGAAGTTGAGAGATTTCTTGAGTTTGTGTCATCGAACCAATTACATCCACTGCCAAGACCTAACAGAAAACATTTCTAGGAAAAGAGGTGGATCAAGATGTGTCTAAAAGATATAGTACCATCAGACGACTCGAACACATGAAGACTTCTTTTGCGATCACCGTTGCACTCTCCCCCTGAGTGCTCTCGCCTGTGGTAAAGAATTTTCCTGCCAACGATGCCACAAGTGAGACCAAGACCGAGAGCTACCATTACGGTGGCAGTGGTGGATACTACGGAGGTCGTGACCATGGAGGTCGTGGCCGCTACGGAGGCGGCTTTTGCAAAGGTCCTTGGTAATACTGTAGTAGCCTTCTCCTACTTCAAGCTAGCTAACCAATGTACAAGAGATCATTTTCCAGTGAACAGTCTAACCATTTTATCATCAACTTGCCTTCGACTTTGACATGGCAACGTATGTAGAAAGAATAGTTACTTTTGAGCTCATACATTTCCCCTCACCAACTCTATTTTAAACACCGTACTAGTAAACGATGGTGATACACTCTGTCTGACTTAACCACATGTGATAATAGGACACCTTCAGTGACTACTAGATACAGCAAAGCAATAACATCATGTCGTGCATGCTTTGAGTTCAGGCAGCATCCAACTTTCAAGATCAACGAAAGAATGAATGCTTTCAAAGCCAAAAAAGCTATCACAACATGACTCGTAAACTACAAGAATGGGACTCAAACGGTCGGAGTATCGGCATTAGCCCTCAATGTGTCATATAACATTGCATAACGGACAATCAGCGGCTTCTCAAACAAATTATGACAGCCGAATGGCATGGATAGATTCAATATGGCTTCATCGCTGATTGATTTACGACAAGCCTGAAACAGAGCTATAAACTGTTAAACTATCGCATAGCAAGCAACGCGGTGAAGAATCCGTACTTTAGGCCGACATAGCGGGAGCTTCATGTGGCGTCATCGGCGAGATAGGAGCTGCAGCGGGGACAGCGACATCTGCTGTCCCTGAGGTGGCAACAGGAGCTACAGCTGGAGCAGGAGTGCCAAATGTAGAAGGAGACATAATAGCTGCAGGCACTGCTGCACCCAACAAGCCTACAATGTGGCCGGACAAAGCACCCGTGTCACCACTCCTTGCAGCCGAAATGACACCCGCGGCATGGGAGAGCATGGCCGAGTTCGTCGCAATGTTTGTCAAGAGTACGAAGAGATCGTCGATACTCATGGAGCTGGCTGTACTCGCCTCCGGGCTGCTCGACAGCATCTCTTTGATGGTGTGCGCAAGCTTCACTCGATCGCTCTTCGAGATGAGGATGTTGCTCTTGGTGATGAGAATATTGTTACCATTTGCGTCCACCTTATTGCTGACAACACCAACGGTCACTGGTAAGGCAGTGCTTTTTCCGCGCATAGTAGGCATAGTGGATATGGTTTGGTCTGCAGAGACCATGGCTTGACTGGAATTTGTATCGGAAGTCAGCGCGTTATCGGACGTCATCGTTTTTGATTCGCGTTTCGACTCTATAACGTCCGAAACATTTAGATGGTTGGCTGTGACGAAGGACATCATGTACACAATAGCGATAGCGGTGACGGTACTTGTAATCTTCATCGTGGTAAAGCTGAAGTCGACTTGAGTAGTTGGAGTCCAATCGAACAATGACAGCGGAACTGTAAGCAAGCATTGAAGTCCATGTATAAACCATCAAGCAAGCTGAAAAAAGTCATTTGTCTGAGGACAATTCGCTGACTTTGCAGACTAAAGCAGAGATATCTATACTCGTTTCACGATCTGTGAAGAAGTTGAGAGATTTCTTGAGTTTGTGTCATCGAACCAATGACATCCACTGCCAAGACCTAACAGAAAACATTTCTAGGAAAAGAGGTGGATCAAGATGTGTCTAAAAGATATAGTACCATCAGACGACTCGAACACATGAAGACTTCTTTTGCGATCACCGTTGCACTCTCCCCCCTGAGTGCTCTCGCCTGTGGTAAAGAATTTTCCTGCCAACGATGCCACAAGTGAGACCAAGACCGAGAGCTACCATTACGGTGGCAGTGGTGGATACTACGGAGGTCGTGACCATGGAGGTCGTGGCCGCTACGGAGGCGGCTTTTGCAAAGGTCCTTGGTAATACTGTAGTAGCCTTCTCCTACTTCAAGCTAGCTAACCAATGTACAAGAGATCATTTTCCAGTGAACAGTCTAACCATTTTATCATCAACTTGCCTTCGACTTTGACATGGCAACGTATGTAGAAAGAATAGTTACTTTTGAGCTCATACATTTTCCCCTCACCAACTCTATTTTAAACACCGTACTAGTAAACGATGGTGATACACTCTGTCTGACTTAACCACATGTGATAATAGGACACCTTCAGTGACTACTAGATACAGCAAAGCAATAACACCATGTCGTGCATGCTTTGAGTTCAGGCAGCATCCAACTTTCAAGATCAACGAAAGAATGAATGCTTTCAAAGCCAAAAAAGCTATCACAACATGACTCGTAAACTACAAGAATGGGACTCAAACGGTCGGAGTATCGGCATTAGCCCTCAATGTGTCATATAACATTGCATAACGGACAATCAGCGGCTTCTCAAACAAATTATGACAGCCGAATGGCATGGATAGATTCAATATGGCTTCATCGCTGATTGATTTACGACAAGCCTGAAACAGAGCTATAAACTGTTAAACTATCGCATAGCAAGCAACGCGGTGAAGAATCCGTACTTTAGGCCGACATAGCGGGAGCTTCATGTGGCGTCATCGGCGAGATAGGAGCTGCAGCGGGGACAGCGACATCTGCTGTCCCTGAGGTGGCAACAGGAGCTACAGCTGGAGCAGGAGTGCCAAATGTAGAAGGAGACATAATAGCTGCAGGCACTGCTGCACCCAACAAGCCTACAATGTGACCGGACAAAGCACCCGTGTCACCACTCCTTGCAGCCGAAATGACACCCGCGGCATGGGAGAGCATGGCCGAGTTCGTCGCAATGTTTGTCAAGAGTACGAAGAGATCGTCGATACTCATGGAGCTGGCTGTACTCGCCTCCGGGCTGCTCGACAGCATCTCTTTGATGGTGTGCGCAAGCTTCACTCGATCGCTCTTCGAGATGAGGATGTTGCTCTTGGTGATGAGAATATTGTTACCATTTGCGTCCACCTTATTGCTGACAACACCAACGGTCACTGGTAAGGCAGTGCTTTTTCCGCGCATAGTAGGCATAGTGGATATGGTTTGGTCTGCAGAGACCATGGCTTGACTGGAATTTGTATCGGAAGTCAGCGCGTTATCGGACGTCATCGCTATATCGGTCATCATTGCTTTGTTGGACATCATCGCGTTATCGGACGTCATCATAACGTCCGAAACATTTAGATGGTTGGCTGTGACGAAGGACATCATGTACACAATAGCGATAGCGGTGACGGTACTTGTAATCTTCATCGTGGTAAAGCTGAAGTCGACTTGAGTAGTTGGAGTCCAATCGAACAATGACAGCGGAACTGTAAGCAAGCATTGAAGTCCATGTATAAACCATCAAGCAAGCTGAAAAAAGTCATTTGTCTGAGGACAATTCGCTGACTTTGCAGACTAAAGCAGAGATATCTATACTCGTTTCACGATCTGTGAAGAAGTTGAGAGATTTCTTGAGTTTGTGTCATCGAACCAATGACATCCACTGCCAAGACCTAACAGAAAACATTTCTAGGAAAAGAGGTGGATCAAGATGTGTCTAAAAGATATAGTACCATCAGACGACTCGAACACATGAAGACTTCTTTTGCGATCACCGTTGCACTCTCCCCCTGAGTGCTCTCGCCTGTGGTAAAGAATTTTCCTGCCAACGATGCCACAAGTGAGACCAAGACCGAGAGCTACCATTACGGTGGCAGTGGTGGATACTACGGAGGTCGTGACCATGGAGGTCGTGGCCGCTACGGAGGCGGCTTTTGCAAAGGTCCTTGGTAATACTGTAGTAGCCTTCTCCTACTTCAAGCTAGCTAACCAATGTACAAGAGATCATTTTCCAGTGAACAGTCTAACCATTTTATCATCAACTTGCCTTCGACTTTGACATGGCAACGTATGTAGAAAGAATAGTTACTTTTGAGCTCATACATTTTCCCCTCACCAACTCTATTTTAAACACCGTACTAGTAAACGATGGTGATACACTCTGTCTGACTTAACCACATGTGATAATAGGACACCTTCAGTGACTACTAGATACAGCAAAGCAATAACATCATGTCGTGCATGCTTTGAGTTCAGGCAGCATCCAACTTTCAAGATCAACGAAAGAATGAATGCTTTCAAAGCCAAAAAAGCTATCACAACATGACTCGTAAACTACAAGAATGGGACTCAAACGGTCGGAGTATCGGCATTAGCCCTCAATGTGTCATATAACATTGCATAACGGACAATCAGCGGCTTCTCAAACAAATTATGACAGCCGAATGGCATGGATAGATTCAATATGGCTTCATCGCTGATTGATTTACGACAAGCCTGAAACAGAGCTATAAACTGTTAAACTATCGCATAGCAAGCAACGCGGTGAAGAATCCGTACTTTAGGCCGACATAGCGGGAGCTTCATGTGGCGTCATCGGCGAGATAGGAGCTGCAGCGGGGACAGCGACATCTGCTGTCCCTGAGGTGGCAACAGGAGCTACAGCTGGAGCAGGAGTGCCAAATGTAGAAGGAGACATAATAGCTGCAGGCACTGCTGCACCCAACAAGCCTACAATGTGACCGGACAAAGCACCCGTGTCACCACTCCTTGCAGCCGAAATGACACCCGCGGCATGGGAGAGCATGGCCGAGTTCGTCGCAATGTTTGTCAAGAGTACGAAGAGATCGTCGATACTCATGGAGCTGGCTGTACTCGCCTCCGGGCTGCTCGACAGCATCTCTTTGATGGTGTGCGCAAGCTTCACTCGATCGCTCTTCGAGATGAGGATGTTGCTCTTGGTGATGAGAATATTGTTACCATTTGCGTCCACCTTATTGCTGACAACACCAACGGTCACTGGTAAGGCAGTGCTTTTTCCGCGCATAGTAGGCATAGTGGATATGGTTTGGTCTGCAGAGACCATGGCTTGACTGGAATTTGTATCGGAAGTCAGCGCGTTATCGGACGTCATCGCTATATCGGTCATCATTGCTTTGTTGGACATCATCGCGTTATCGGACATCATCATAACGTCCGAAACATTTAGATGGTTGGCTGTGACGAAGGACATCATGTACACAATAGCGATAGCGGTGACGGTACTTGTAATCTTCATCGTGGTAAAGCTGAAGTCGACTTGAGTAGTTGGAGTCCAATCGAACAATGACAGCGGAACTGTAAGCAAGCATTGAAGTCCATGTATAAACCATCAAGCAAGCTGAAAAAAGTCATTTGTCTGAGGACAATTCGCTGACTTTGCAGACTAAAGCAGAGATATCTATACTCGTTTCACGATCTGTGAAGAAGTTGAGAGATTTCTTGAGTTTGTGTCATCGAACCAATGACATCCACTGCCAAGACCTAACAGAAAACATTTCTAGGAAAAGAGGTGGATCAAGATGTGTCTAAAAGATATAGTACCATCAGACGACTCGAACACATGAAGACTTCTTTTGCGATCACCGTTGCACTCTCCCCCTGAGTGCTCTCGCCTGTGGTAAAGAATTTTCCTGCCAACGATGCCACAAGTGAGACCAAGACCGAGAGCTACCATTACGGTGGCAGTGGTGGATACTACGGAGGTCGTGACCATGGAGGTCGTGGCCGCTACGGAGGCGGCTTTTGCAAAGGTCCTTGGTAATACTGTAGTAGCCTTCTCCTACTTCAAGCTAGCTAACCAATGTACAAGAGATCATTTTCCAGTGAACAGTCTAACCATTTTATCATCAACTTGCCTTCGACTTTGACATGGCAACGTATGTAGAAAGAATAGTTACTTTTGAGCTCATACATTTTCCCCTCACCAACTCTATTTTAAACACCGTACTAGTAAACGATGGTGATACACTCTGTCTGACTTAACCACATGTGATAGCTTGGCAAATTACTTGCACAAGTATAGCCTCTACTATGTGGAAGTGGCTAGTCCATTGTCCAATCTCCTTAAAAAGGATGCGGAATGGTGCTGGAACACCGAGCACCACGAGGATTTGAAGCCATTAAGGAGAGTCTCATTCAGTCGTAAATTTTGGCCTGATCTCGATCGTCTTTTTAGCGTCGTTTGTGACGCTTCGGACTTTTCCATTGGCAGTGCTCTCTTGCAAGTTGACTCTGAGGGTCGAGAGCGCGTCATCGCGTTTGAGTCTCGCCAGATAAAAGCTGCAGAGAAGAACTATCCAGTTCATGACAAGGAGATACTTGCGATGAATTATGCCCTTGTTAAGTTCAGGGTACACCTGTTGGGCTCAAAGCTGTTTTTTTGGGACCTTAGCGGTCGTCTTGGCCGATGGGACGCCGAGGTCGCTTATTCGTCACCGGTGTGGGAGGCACTGTGGGAGCAGTCACGGGAGGAGCTACGGGATCCTTTAATAGATTTGTGGCGTAATCTCGTGATCCAACTCCGCCATCATGAGAGCGTATCGGCTCTGGCGGTAGTCCATTCGCCACCGCAAATGTTCCACCAGCGCTCTCTCGTGCTGGAGTCCCTCTAGCAACTTGACTACAAAAGCCGAGGGTTTTGGATGGTCGACTAGAGTCTATAGTGGGTAGACCTCGGTATTTCGAGGTAGACCTTGGTCTTTCGAGGTAGACCTTGGTCTTCCGAGGTTGAACCTGGTCCAGCATTAGTAGACACTGGTCTATCAGTGATAGACCTTAGGCTTTCGAGGTTGGCCCTAGTCTATCATTGGTAGACCTTGGCCTTCTAAGTTCGACCTTGGTCTATCATGGGTAGACCTTGGTCTTCTGAGGTCGACCCTGGTCCATCATCAAAAGACCTTGTTCATTTGGACCCTGGTCTCTAGTGTGGTGAAGAAAGCAAAGTGGTATAAGGTACGAAGGTAGAAGGGCAGCAGAAATACAAGACGAAGAATGGGAGGAAGATGAACGCGAGTATATTAAAATGAAAATTTTTACAGGGTGGGGACGAACTTGTCCCGGAGATGTGGCACCGAGTATCCAGGATGGGGCTCGGACGAAAGTCAGTACTGGGAGATCCATGGGTAGGTGGCGTCGGAGACCCTCACGGCTTCTAACAGGTCGGCGGGATCCGACCCTTCCTCACCCCCTGGGAGCCAGTATACCACGCAGCAAGGTCGGGGAAGGTGCCGGAAGAAGGAGTCGAGCAGGATGTCGATATCGCACCGACCGTCTCTCATCCCTTTGAAGATCATGCCGACGACCCCTTGCCACACCCGAATCGCACGACCCCGTCGTTTCTTCCAGGTGCTGTAGTACGACGAGAGGAAGGAGCTGGAGCGCGCTTAGTCCTTCGAGATCCACAAGCAGTGGGTAGTCTCCCAAAATTCTTGGCTGTGATCTTCGTCAAAACGCAGGTAGGTCGACTCCAATTCCGCAAGCCAGCCCACTGGCTTGAAAGATACAGGTGATGTCGAAACTCGTGATAGCCACGGTCGGGTGACTAGGAGTCTCTTGAGCATTGAAGAACTGACCAGTGACGGTTTCTACTTGGAAAGTCGATCGACCTTCCCGTGTGGCGAGCTGAATCAGCCCTAAGGCAGCTCCAGGCGGTCGACCAAGTCACTAGGGGTCATCGGCACGATACTCAACGAGTTGACCAGGTCGACCGACCAAGGCGCTACTTCCGAAGCAGTAAACGATTTCATCTGCATACATCCAGGTATGACGTTACCTTTCGGAAGCGTAATTGACCCCCCTGAGGCAAAGTCTGCCTTCGCGACTGTGACGGGGACCTGCTTGTCCGAAACTGACTTGATCTTGGAGTCCGAAGATTTAGATATGGCTCGGAATAACTCTGGATCCGGAAGAGTGACCGGTCGGGGAACATAATCGGCCGAGACAGCTGGGAGAGGCAAGTCGGTAGTCGCGAAGCGTGGCCTTAAGACCGCGACCAAGCTAAGGTCGCCTGGACCACCTCGCTATCTTCGCTTGATGTGTCTTCGTCCGGATACCTCTAGTCCTCATGATTTTGCATCGCTTGAAGCGATTTCTCCTTGTCTCCTTGCGTTCAAAATTCCGAAGTAAGGCCCCGCAATATAAATCCAATTCTTTCACTCACGAGGGGTCTTCATACCCTTTCCATCGGACGAGGAGCTCTCGTTGTTGTCTTCTGTAGTGCGTCTTATTTCCATTGCGGGCTTCCAAGATCTCCTCGACCTCGTATTCTCCTTCTTCCAGCTCTCTTGCCCAACTGTCCTCCGGCAACAGGCATTCATCGAAGTCGACACGATCTATTTCGTCCGTCTCTAACGCGGTACTAGGTCGACCAAGTAACTCTCTAACCCTCTTGACTTTGGATAGATGTACCACAGGGAATAGCATGTACTCCGTATCTAGTTTCTAAGCGCGCTGCGTGTTCTCCCACCAACTCTAGAACTCGAAATGGTCCATGCCAGAGGTGGGTCAGTTTCTTGGCGTACCCCTCTTTCACTCGGTCCAGGTAGAGCCACACTTGAGTTCCCGGCTGAATCCTGTGGTCGACCACCCCTTCATTATGGGCTTGCATCCGAGCTTGACTGACCGCTTGTAGGTTTTCATTCACCTGGGCTCTCGCCCGCTGATGGTGTTAATGAATGTGGTATCTCCATCTGCGTGGCCCATATCCTCGACGTCGCGTATTTAACAGCCTCGAGGGTGGTTCTAGCATCCCAAACATAGACCAGATAGAACGGCGTCGCCTTCCAGACTCGATCTTGCGCGGTGTTCATCGCAAACGTTAGTAATTCTGCATACTCGTCCTAATCCTGTTGTCCGAAATCAGATGTTGGACCTAGTCATGGTCTGAACCATCCTCTTCGCGGTACCTTTTGCCTGAGGTCGATAGGCCATACTAGCCTGTTGAGGCTGGCCCACTATGCGACTAAACCCCCGAAAGAAATCCAACATAAACCCGGGCTCTCGATCGTGGCGGATTGCCTTGCTAGCATCAAAACGGCGAAAAACGCATTCTTCGCACCCTTCAGCTATCGTCTGGGCCGTTCGCGAGGCACTAGCCTTGGCCATCACGTACCCTGTGAACAGGTCGACCAAATTAGTAACTTGGTATTTCCTCTATGCGACCTGGGCAGAGAGGGAATATGATCCATCGCGATGGTCTGTAAAGGGTATGTTGCTTCGACATTTCCTATAGTCTTGCCCTGCAGGGTAGGTCCTCCTTTCCCTGTCTCGCATTCCACACATGTCCCCACATACCTCTGTACTCTTCGGAATAAACCTCTCCAATGGCAGTACCGTCGGAATCGGTGATAGGTACGTCCAACCCCTTGGTGACCTCCTTCCAGACTGGTGTTGTAGTGACGTAGGTCTTCAGCTTGGAAGCTTTCGGGTAACACTAGTCTGGCCGTTACTTCTCGGTCGTCTTCCTTGATTCTCTGACCGGGAAAATGCAATAGTAAGCCCTCTTCACTTATCTCGTAGTTCCTGGCCATCTTACTGCACGAGTGGGCGGTCTCCGTGGGTAGGTCGACCCCATCTCCCTTCAAGTAGGCCTTCAAATCTCGCACCCAGTCCTCTTGCTCTTGTGCCTCCCTGATTCGATCTGTCCGGAGTCGTTATATTACACCTTCTTGCCGGATTTCCCCTGACATCTTGGTTGGAGGTCGAGATCGAGTGATTGCAAGCACCTTGGCCGATGGGCTTTGGTCCTTGGGACTTCTGGCAATCGATTAATTGTTTCGAAATTCGGCCATTCCGCTTCCAATATCGACTTCATACCTTCCTTCTAACGCAGAGCTGTGCTGTCCAAGTGGTCGGAGCTCTGATTTCAATCGCGTTTTACATGCACGATTCCTTGGGTAGGCCATGAGAGCAGCTTATTTAAAAGCTTTTGCTCGTAATGGGGACAATCCTGAAGCCTTACACTTCATCTCTCCCCGCATTTGTCATACCATCAAGTTGGAATCTCCACATATGATCAATCGCCGTCGTTCTAGAGACTCTAACAGGTCGAAACCCAGTAGCATACCCTCATACTCGGCCTCATTCACTAGCTGTAACGAGGAACTTCGAGGCAGCCTTGACTATTGTCCGATTAGGTAATCTCCATACAATAGCGCTACAGGCTCCACCTCCCTGTTTCACTCGGGCGGACCCATCAAAACTCATGACGTATAACTCTTCTGGTGTAGGTAGGTTGAACACTTGTCGCACCTGTTTCATGGGGGCAATTGACGACAAAATCGAGTCCACACTTTCGCGAGGAGTAATGCTGGCTGCGAGCGCCCCCTGTACTTGGTCCTCGCCTTTCTTGTACTTGACAATCTTCATAGTCCATTGGGACAAGAGGGTAGCACAATTACCAAGACGTCCCTGTAACCCCGTAGACCTGACTAGCCACGCCAATGTAGAATGCCTCGTCAGGACCTTGAGGGGTCAAGAGACCAACATCGTAAGACAAGTTTTCATTATCCGCAATAAATCCAGCACTTCTTTCTCCACCGTACTGTAGTTCAAATCGTTGGCCTTAAGGGTCCGACTCGTAAAAGTCACCGGCATTAGAATACCACCATGATCTTGCACCAACGACGCGGATATGGCTCATTCCCTTGCATAAACGATAATTGCTGCTTCCTTGGACGGGTCAAAGTGTCGCAAGATAGGTGCTGTGGCAATCTTGTTCTTGAGCATAGCAAAAGCTACTTGGACCCTGGACCATTTCTCCTTGTCTTCTGCCTTAGCCGCCACATTGTCACCCGTCCTCAACTTACATCGCCAAGCGTGAAAATCCACCTCTTGTAACTCATAGAGGATCGATGCATACACTGCATAATCTTCAATGAATCTACCATAGTAACTCAGACTTCCGAGAAACGATTGCATGGAATTGAGTGTCGTTGGCAACGCTAGGTCGACCAAGGACTGGAGGTCCTTTGGGTGGGCCTCTAGACCTTGGTCCGAGACCCGGCGCCCAAGGTAATCTACCTTACGGCGTCCCCATGAACTCTTGACCGCGCTGATTGATAGATTCCAAATAGTCACTCACATCTAACAATCGCTCTACCTCTTTGCACAACATATCCCACGAGTCGACCGGTATCAGAATGTCATCTATGTAGGACCGCCGACTCAGTACCGAGGGACCCGACTTTACATCAGACTCCCCCATCGTAAACAAGTCTTCGGTCTCCTCTGTATCAGCTCCTTGAGAGATACGCAAAAAAACCATGCAAAGCATTATCCAAGAGTCTTTGATATATCGGAGGCGCATTCGTGAGTCCAAATGGAATCCGTAGCCATTTGAACAATCCGAATGGGGTGACAAACGCCGAGATCCTTCTCGCCCTTTTGGTCATGCCGACGACCTAAAACCACTTGCCATATCCAGGAAGCAGTACCACAATGCTCCGTTTAGATCCTCCAACAATTCGTTAATTAGAGGCATAGGGTAGACCATAAGCTGGGTCAAGTCGTTCACCAACTGATAATCAATACAAAGCCTGATATCCACTCCATTTTCTTCACGTTAATGACGATTGGGCTGGCCCATGGCGAGGTAGAAGGCTGAATGATCTTC